CACACAGACAGACATCACACACACGATGTTCTTGCTCGGAGACAGAGAGAGCGAGCCCTAATTAAATTAAAACTTCACCAGGTATGGACTCAGAACCGGTCAGAAAATTAATTAATTATTATTATTATGTACGACAGTGTTGGAACGTCACGTGTATATTTGTGTGTGTGCGTGTGGTTGAGCGGTAGTGTAACGGTTAGCGTGAACCTGGCGACCCGAGTTCGATTTCTGCTCACGGCCAACACAAGTGACGATTATATGAACCGGTCCTGGGCCTCCCCTAGGTCGACTTAGCTTCAAATGAGTACCTGGGTGCGGTGTGTAAACATCGCCACTGGGGGAGACAAAGGCGGCCAGGCGTGGTGCTGGCCACCCACCCCCTCGTGTGCCGTGCCGGCATTCATAGGTGCTCGCTAACATTACTTGCCCCAACAGTCTGCTAAGAATATTAGGGAGATATTTGTATTAAATGTCTGTGAAGCGCAACGAATATAGTTTGTTTTACTCCGACAATCATAAAATTACGTTCTTCAGTCCCGAAATCTAAACCTAACAACTTTCTCTCGATCAGGAAAAGTCGAACAGGCGCACTCTCGCTCAGACACCGAGCTTCTGCAGTGTGGAACGATGTCATAGACGCAGAAATAAAGTAGATTCCAACCTGTCTCATATTATATTATTCACAAATCGGCACCATTTAATTAGTTATATAATTGCGTATGCGTTAAGACCGGGTTGTGATATTCGTTGCGTAAATGCACGGAGTACTGCACGTATAAGTTATATATTTCCAACGTGTGTATGCCTGGTCATTGCGCATTTGCGATGTGTACGTGTCATTTGACACTCCTGACAGGATCGCAAAACTGTTGTTCCTTCCAAAGGAAATGTTCACGTGAAGTATTTACATTTAGGATAAATACTGTATGGGTTTTGTGTACGACACCGATATACAGGAGCGTGAAATGAGGAGGGATGTTTCTTGCAAAGCACGGGTTTGTATCAAAGGACGGCCGAACCTTTCGGCAAGTTCTGTGGGACTATACCCAGTGGGCCAATCCAGTTTCAGTTTAATTATTAGGTATAGTCCTGTGAGCTATGCGGCTCTTGAATCGGGTGCAACCGCAACAAACAAAATTTGAACAGAGAACATCTTAAAGTGACTACGCGCAAGAAAAAAACAGCAAAGTCTTCCAGAAAAAGCACCGTATATCAACGCTATGTGCAAAAATCCCAGTGAGATGCAAGTCAAACAATAACAACCGTAAGACAATTTAGATTAAAGTTATCAGTCTAACTCTGTACCACAACACACAAATATGGCTAAACCAAAACATTTTCGAAATCACCAAAATAAAGCTACAAAAACAATGTATTAGTGATCATAGGAACTGTGATTCAAATTGAACAATAAACGATATACATAACATGTACTAACTACCACCACCATCATCGGTGCTACCAAGTGTAACGCGAGAGATATCAAAGCTACGTGTAGTATCGATTCAACAACAACAGCAGCAAAATAAACGCAGGCTATGACGAAATCTAGCTGAATGAGGCCGACCTCGTGAGATTTGCGAAGCGTGGCAGCCTGCATGGCAATGCCCACGCGTTGTTAGGCATGGGTCGCCAATCGTCTAGGACAGGGGCGTCTGAATACCTGCGGTTCTGCGGCCGCGTGCGGCTATTTAAGGAACTGCAGTAGCGGCTCTTGAAATTCGAAAATAATGGCTCCTCTTGTTATTCTCGTTGCCAACCCCTGACCATACAAGTTCAATTTACCACGGAAGTCCAGTTCACCATGGAAGTCCAGTTTACCATGAAAGTCCAGTTCACCATGGAAGTCCAGTTTACCATGGAAGTCCAGTTCACCATGGCAGTCCAGTTTACCACGGAAGTCCAGTTCACCATGGAAGTCCAGTTTACCATGGAAGTCCAGTTCATCATGGAAGTCCTATTCACCACGGAAGTCCAGTTCGCCACGGAAGTCCAGTTCACCACGGAAGTCCAGTTTACCATGGAAGTCCAGTTCACCATGGAAGTCCAGTTCACCACGGAAGTCCAGTTCACCATGGAAGTCCAGTTTACCACGGAAGTCCAGTTCACCACGGAAGTCCAGTTTACCACGGAAGTCCAGTTCACCATGGAAGTCCAGTTTACCACGGAAGCCCAGTTTACCACGGAAGTCCAGTTCACATTGGAAGTCCAGTTTACCACGGAAGCCCAGTTCACCATGGAAGTCCAGTTTACCACGGAAGTCCAGTTCACCACGGAAGTCCAGTTTACCACGGAAGTCCAGTTCACCACGGAAGTCCAGTTTACCACGGAAGCCCAGTTTACCACGGAAGCCCAGTTCACCATGGAAGTCCAGTTTACCACGGAAGTCCAGTTCACCACGGAAGTCCAGTTTACCACGGAAGTCCAGTTCACCACGGAAGTCCAGTTTACCACGGAAGTCCAGTTCACCATGGAAGCCAAGTTTACCACGGGCAGGGGTCGGCAACCTGCGGCTCTGGAGCGGCATGCGGCTCTTCGTGACGACGTTATTCATAAAGGACCACCGTCTCGTATTCACCACGCAGTTGCATTGCAGCTCTTGAAATACTGCGGGGTATTTTACCGAATTAAAAAAAGGCTCTTGTTGTTTTGGTTGCCGACCCCTGGTCTAGGAGGTGACGGTTTTGAGGATGGATTTTTTTAAAATCTGTGCAGAGATTTAAGTGTAACCCCCGCCTCTCTCTCTTTCCCTCCACGCTACCCACTCTGGAACGCATTGGTGGGGTTTATCTCCGCACGCCACTCATTTGGCCAAACTTTCGAAATGCAGGACTCTCCGGAAAATTAGTCTCGGAAGTTAATGAGGATTTTGTGAGGCTGAAGGGATTATTAAGTTATCTGATTAAGATCGTGCGTCTGCATCGCTGTAAACCTATAACACCGTGCCGGGTTTAGTGATGACTGCGGCTGCTGATCGGAACATGCAGTTGTTTCCGTACAAATAGCTTCCTGACCGGTGACTCACTAATCGCGTGATTTCCCAAAGGTCGTGTCATCGGGTGGGAATCCATGTAGGTACGTTGAATTTTGTTGTTGTTTGCACCGTACGTAGTCAACCGCGCAAATCGGAGGTGCGGAGGGCGGACGACAAACTAAACACACAAATCAGTTCTAAAGACATTCGTTTTCAATCTCCATTTAAAAGTTTATAGCTCCCAGTGGCTTTCGAATATCGGAGGAGCGTACGAGATGGCCGCAGAAGCGCATCTGAAAGCGCGCGATGCAGTGACCGTCTTCGTTCGATGGGTCAGCCAAAAGCCGCTGCGAGGAATGATCGGAGCTCGCATGATGGTTTCTGTTCCTTGAAGAGATCGGCAAAAGGTTCATGTTCCTTGGGGCTTTCGGTAAAGTCACGTAGATAGCGACTTGACCGAAAAACCCCAAAGAATATGAATTCCGGCAGTCACGAAAGCTTTAAGTCAAGATTGGTGGTTCACTTGCGGCAATCACTTCGTGTGTAACGAGGGCGACCTTCGTATGTTTAGCATCCCCAGGTCTATGACGAAGAGAACAAAGATCCCCCGTGTAGCCTTAACAGACTGTAGAGGCAAGTGCTATTAGCGAGCACCCATAAAGGCCGGCACGGCACACGAGCGGATGGGTGGCCAGCAACACTGAGTGTTGACCGTGAGCGGGAATCGAAGTCGGGTCGCCGGGTTGGGTTCGTCGCGCAGCGTAGCGCTAACCGCTACACCACCGCTCCCCACAAAGAGCACGGCCACCTTGAGACGCTCACCGGCTACCGTACGTAGTGCAGTATCAATGTCACTGGTCGGAGCGCGGTTCACAATGGTTGGCAAGTGGTGTCGGGGCTGGTCTTTGGGCCTTCCCGCTTCATCAATCCGCATTGACCGGCGCGGTGAAGTATGGCCAAATAACCCCCGTGTGGCCAGCGGATTGGCCGAGGGATGTAAATTACAAATGCAATGTCAATTTCATCATGGGACCTCGTTTGCCAGCAATGTCAATTCTCAACGCAGTGGGTTTATTCATGGGCACACGCATTGCATTCATAGCGTTATTACATTCAAGCGGATTAAATGTCACTTCAGTGGTTGCAAAAAAAGAGTATAATTGTAAAAGAAAAATAACTTGAATGTACAATTGTTTTTAGGTCGATCATTACGTTTTTTTTAAATATAGTTTTCATATGTTGAGGAGTTAATGAAGAAGTATTACTCTGTAGTAATAACTAAAGTTGCTTGACTTTGTGGAATGTTCCCCGTTGTTGCACTCGAGACTGACTCATCATCATTATGTCTGAGTAATTCGAATTCCTATGATTGCTTTAGAGGGGCGCTGTAAACTTGAAATGTGTGCCAAGTGTAGTCGAGTCTTCGGTTCAACTTTGATAACCCGAAAACTAAAACGACATCGGATTTAGTCCATCCCAAAATCCCCACGTTCATTCCGGTTGATGTATCTGAATCACTGGGCCACAATAAACATCCGCACTGCTTCAAGTCTCTTCATCAAAACCTTTCAAAAAGACAAACAAATGAAAAAAGATGCCCTCCCCAGCCGGTATCGACGGCTAAACAAGTAATTCGCACCGCCTCCCCCCCCCCCTCCGTGGAGCGTGACGCTAAAGCCTATGTAGAAAGCTGACCAAGTCCGCATTACCGGCGAGAACGCAGGATATGCCTCTCTTATTCTATAATTGTACACTTATAGAATAAGAGAGAGGTGGTGGGTGGGGAGGGGGCACTTCTCCACTGCGGCTTTGCCAAGTCACATTGCAGCGCATGTGCGGCAGTGTGAGCGGAAAAAAAAAAACCCCGAAAAGTGTGTCACTAGGACACGCCAAGCCAGCAGCGCTAGGACCCGCCCTCAAGCCCCCGCGCTCGCACGCGCGCGCGTGTGTGCCTGCTCCCACCTCCCCCTCCCCTACTCCCTCTCTCTCCTCTCCCTTCATCCCCATCCCTCCCTCTCCCCTCCCCTTCCCCATCCCTCCCACCCTCGGGCCGCGTGAGCTGCGCCAACTGGGAAAGGCGGCAGATATGAGGCCGCGCTGCGCGCCAGGCGAGTGCAGTTATGAACCACGCGGTCGGTGAGCGAGGCTCGTCGCAGTCGGCACTGAGAGTAGGGGGGGGGGTGGTTATAGCTTGACTCACTTCGGCTCTTCCCTTACAGCCTAGCACACACACACACGCGCACACTAGCCAGGAAACACCAATTGTCGTTTCACCCACGCGGTTACTTCTGCTTAACGCTAGCAGCACGAGCAAGCAGTATTGGTAGCTCCCCCCATCACCACCACCACCCTCTTAAACCGCCTCTGTTCCACCGAACTGAAGATTGTCTACAGAGGGCAAGATCTGCCGGAAGACGGCCAGTGCCGAAGACTTCCTCTGCGCTTCATTCCGGTGTTGACTTCCAGACAGCAGCAGCATCATCATTATCGGCGGCAGTAGTGGTAGTGGCATCAGCGACGCAACAGCAGAGTTTTCGTGTTGAGAGCGGTTTAGTAGTGGCAGCGCCTGGAGTAGTCGAAGTTACTCCGGAGTTATTTTTCTCAGCGACTTTAAAACAAACAAATTATTTTTTTTAGTATTCCGCGACGCTACGCTTGCCCGACCCACTCGCCGGAGCCGAGAGGACATCGAGAAGCATGGACACGAATCATCCAGGTGGGAGTTTGTGCGTGCGCGAGTGCCATGCGTGTGCGCGCTACACGCGATTTTGATACATTGTGCTTGCTTGTATTCACGTATAAGCGTCGTGAAAGATGATGGGGCAGAGGCCGGGGCAGGCAGAGGGCTTCATCCAGCAGTGGATTGATCGTAGCCGATGATGACGGTGATGATATAACTGTCCCGTATTGATAAGGGATGGGGTTTTTTTTGTACCTTATTATCGCGTAGCGCGAGTTGTTTAAGGATGAGAGCTTGCTTCTCGCTCGAGACTTAACAGCAGCCTATAGTTTGGCCGTACGTAAAATACACACAACTCTCGTATTACACACACACACAGCCTTGCCGGCGTGCGTTTAATGTACGGGGATTGTATATCGGCAGAGCAAGCCAGAGGCAGTGTGTGTGTGGGGGAGCGAGGCGTGACACACACGCACAGACACGCAGCACGGCGTAGATTAAAAAAAAAATCGTAAACAAGCCGAATGAATGGCGAGGACTGCAAGAGCGAGGGCTGCTCCCCCCACCCCCGAGACGCATTGGTTCTCTCGGGCGCACGTGGACCGCACCCCACCAGCCATGTGCCACCTCCTCCCTCCCATCCCATCCCATCCCTCCCTCCCCCGCACAACCCCGCCTCCTCGTCCAGCCGCATTGGATGGGGGGGTCCGGGAACCCATGTTACGTAAAGTGTTGCCGGAGGATCGCTTGTGGTGGCGGTGACGATGATGCGACGTTGGCTTCGTGACTTGGAGGAGGTAGCCGAGGCTAATGGACTGGCGGGCAGTACTCGACTGAGCTCACACGTGCACGGCCACACCTTACCCGCACCTTCGCGTACGGCACGCACATCACACACCTGCGCGTTGACGCGGTTGGTTGGCTACGTGTACGGTGCGAAAGAAGTTCAACATACGTACGTACCTGTGCACGCAGGTGTCCCGTGCACGTATGCCGGTTCATGCGCGAACACCTGCGCGTCTACACAAACCTGTGCCAACGCGCGTACAATGTTGTAATAGACACGCATGCACATGTGCGTACGCCTGTAAACGCGCGGCGGCGTATATATCGCATGCCTCCTGTTATAACGCAAACCCGTCGATGTACAACTTTGGCATTGTGTACTTACACTTGTACACACGCGCACAGCACTGTAAGTGCAGTGCACGCAATTACGCGCACCTCGCCGACATCTGAACGTGCATCTGCACAGTTGGCTTGCACGTACAGTCATCGCATGCACCAGCAACATCACATTTCCTGCACCTGCGCGAAAACACACGTGCACTCGCACGTGTCGAACACACGTGCACGCGCACACGTGTCGAACACACGTGCACGCGCACCTGAGGCCGCCCACCTGGAGCGGATACCCCCCCTTTCTCCCCCCCCTCCCAGCCCCCACCCTCCCCTCCCCCGTACTCTGCCCCTCCCTTCACCTACCGCTTCACATATACCTGTACACACTGTTCTCAAAACTTCCACTTGACCACGTCAACATTCAAACAACATGTTTTTTAGTGCGATACCCCCCCCCCTCGGGTGACGGTACTGGCTCCCCCACCCCCCCACCTTTCATCCCCCCACCACCACCACGGCCACCACCACCACCACCACCACGGCCACCACCACGGCCACCGCCCCCTCTTCCTCAGCCCCACCAGCCCGCTCCCAGCTCGTAGTGACCGCAATTACGAGACGTCATTAACAGCAGCAAACTTGTTGCGTAAAAACATCGCCACCGCAAGATTGGCGAAAGTCTTTTTTTATATATATAAAAGGGGTTTAGGGAGCGGTGTTTATATTATAATATGCGCGCTTCAGGGGGCTTGCGATTGTAATTCCACGTGCGTTAATCAGTCACGTTACGTATTGGCGGCATACGTGTGCGCGCGTGCGTAGAGTACGTTGCGTTCTATTCACCGTACCCCCCCATACACCCCCCCCCCCAATGCACACACCCAACCCACACCCCCCCCCCCTCCAACCACACCACTGCTAAAGAAACAAAATGAGAGAGAAGAAAAAAGGGGGGCCGAAAATGCGCTCACACATTGGAAAATTCTGGTCAGGTCGTATGTAGGTCACAGTGTTCCGAGCCTCGTGGCTTACATAACGACCCCTGAGACATGCCAGTGTAGCTAGGTGGGTGTTGGGTGTTGGTGGCAGCCAGACTTTGACGTCTTGGCACTCCTTCTGGAACTAAGTGTATTTTTTGTGTCCGCGTCTTTCTGGGATAAATTTTTTTGTTTGTTTGTTAAAAGATAATAACGCAAGTGCCGGCGTTTCTGTTTCTCTCTCTCTCTCTCGCGCTCACTCACTCACACAGACACGGGGGGGGGGGGGGGTGTGGGGGAATAAACCGGAGCGAACTTCAGCGGGTTTGTTTTTGGAATGGAATGTTTGTGAGCCACGGGAGCGACGTGTACTTTGAACTATTTTAAGGCCTTTTTAACTGGGGCGGTTAAAACCGAGACCCCCATCAGCCACAGAGATTTGGGGAAGGTTCGCGGGAGGTTGGAATTTATCGCCTCGCATCTCCGGGGGGGGGGGGGGAGAGACTTCGTTGAGGACGGAAGTTCTAAAACTTTATATTGCGCTTGTGCTACTGCCATCCAAGGACATGCTTTTTGAGAATTTCGTTTTGCGTAAACACGTGCCACGTAAGAGAAGAAAAAAAGCCGAGGCACATCGCGTTGGTTGTAAACAGCAGCCAGCACTTACTCTCGGGTCCACCCAGAGATTCCTACCTCCAGAGAGCATTGTCCAACGTCTATTGTACGTGTTAGTTGTACCCTACTTCATAGTGAAAAAAATATATATAATAATTATGATAACCTGTGAGGTTGTTTGACCATACTTCATTGTGCGGGTTGGTGAAGGTTGTTTTTACTTATTTTTTTTTATTTTGGGGATGGGGGTGAGACAGATATCACTCAAAAACTGATATTAGCCGTGGCCGGAGTCAAACTCATGTGGCGGAGTTTATCATGCAAGTGTGCCATGAACCAAAGTTGTCACCACTTCCATGACATGCTTGTGAACAAATCCTTGAGTGAGCATTTAAAAAAAAATGTGATTCTAGCTATCACGCAAAACAGCGTCAACCTTGCCCCAGCCACCGCTGTGTTTTGTACTCTGCGTAGAGAGAGGAGAGGGGGGGGAGAGGCGGTACAGTACACACACGCTGGCCTGGAAATTGGGCTAAAAGACGCAGAGATGAGTGCTCGCCATTGATCCGTTAGCAATGCCGAGTCATTGTGTTTATTCTGCATCTTCTGTTGCCGAGGGCAAGCCAACCAAGCCCCTCCGCACATTCCCCTCCATCTCGCCACCGATTTCCACCGGAACGTTTCATAATCCACAAACGACGATTCGTAACAACCCCTTATTTAGCCGCACAACTGAGCAAGCGTTTCTGTTGTTGTTGTTGTAAACGGAGCACCGTACAGTTGTGCTCGTATCGCTATTCACTCGTGTTGTATCTCACTAATAAAAATACACACTACATCAACATCCGTTGTTTTACTGTACAGTACTTCTATGCTCCCGGGTCTAGGTTTCCCGAACGTCAACCCGAACTGACCACCAGGCCAGCCTCGGTGAAAAGCACGGTTACAATAATACCCCGCAGCAGCGGGATATGCCAGAAGTACCCGTACAAATAAAAAAAACCACAACAATAATATACACGCACGCACATACCTACTTAATGTTAGGGTTTAACAAGGGCAGTGTTTTTGTAGGATTTTTTTTTTAAATGCGCATTCCATCATGGTCCCAAAAAAAAAAACTACCCTAAGTCTGTAAAAAAAAATATATGCCAGCGGTTAGCTAGCAAGTCCACAAGTCCTTATTCAAAACATGTGCCTTTCCAGGCAATTCTGGCAAGGGTTGGGTTATTTATATTCTGCAGGCCAAGCATGCGTTCGTACCAGAACATTGTGTTCTTGTTACTTGGCAGTTGAGTAATGTGCTGGCCGGCTGCCAGGAGGGGAGGGTGCGTGGGGTGACTTGGATGAAAGGAGGGGAGAGAGAGAGGGGACGTGGAGTGCTGCTGCTGCTGGGGTTGGGTCGATGTGTGGGGTAGGGGGGGGGGAGAAGGGGCGGGGAGTGGAGGAGTGTACGGGGATGGAGGCCCCCCCCCCCAACCCCCTCCGTCCTCCGCACCCAGCTTGTAACCGTTGCGTTTAGCTGAGCCGAGACACACGAGAGAGACGGGCGATGAGTTGCGTAACCGTAACCTTGGAACGTGTTGTGTGTGTGTGTGCGTAGGCGCCCTCCAGTGGCCGCTGTCGTGCCTGCGAATGTTTTCTTGCCTCGTCAGCCTCGGCGGCGAGACAACAAAAAAAGGGGGTTGCCATTGATCTTTGGAGAGAGAGAGTGAGAGAGGGGGGGAAAAATCCCCCAAACGTTTGCACATTACATAACGCACAGCGTGTGACCTGGCTTTCCGAGCCCGTGCAGAATTTTGAAGAGATATAAACATTAGCCGTGCTCAAGCACATCAGGGCATCAGTGGGAGCGATTATGTTTGCGTTATAATGCCAGTTGCGCATGAACGGATGGGTGGGCATGTTCCTAACCTTCAAATTGAAGACCGCATGCGCTTTATAGTGGCGACGGAGACAATGCGCCGTATGAGATTAGCGAATATTTGAAAAAACAAATTTTTGCGCAAAGAAGATTGAGCCTGTAGGAAAATTAGACGGTTTGCATATTTTGTTTTTGCATTCAGTGAATTCTTAGTGGCAACATGAGACAATCGTTGCTGAGGTCGATTTGAAAAAGCAGACTGCGGCAGTGGTACTGTTACCGTGCCAGAGAGTTGGGCATGCAAAACATTAATGATTGCACCGAACTTTACGGAAGTTCTGCAATACTGCTAATTGGATTATGAAAGAGACGAAAACAATTCTCACACAGCGCAGCTTCAGAGACCAAAATACATGGATAATAAAATAAGCTAGAGCTATATTTATATAAATACTGTACCCCAGCAAAAGTACGTGGAGTGATTTATTTTAATTATAAGCCAAGGAAAATAAGCGATTAGCAATTGGAACATCTAGTACTGTACTCAAAGGAAGCGGCATCGCGTGTGATTATTTTGAGTGTCGGCCAAAAATAGCCTCGATAAGGAGGTTTCATGGGAGACGTGTGGCCGGGTTGCGTGTTCCCACATTGCCCGATCGAAAGTCCACTGGGGGGGACAAGGGCCAAGGGACACGGGCCAAGGGACAGGCGACGCAGGACACGAGAGGCGCGCGCATTTGCCAGGAGATGAGTTTGAAATTCAACGCCGCTGCGGATTAAAAAATAAAACCCGGTGACACAGACCCCTGTGACACACACATTAACGTCGCAGGATTTGACGGTGGGATTTGAGATGTGGGAGGCAAAACGGCGCTCGCGTTTCGCTCCGGGGGTGTCCTTTGCATTGTTTAGAACGCTGAGACGGGTTACGCAACACTTTGCTCGGTAGGAATGGGGGAGGAGGCAGGCGGAAGGGGGGGGGGGTGAGCCGCACTGGAACCGTAGCCAAGGGCGGAATATAGAGGGCCTGTAGTTTTGTTATGTAACAGGCGAGGAGGCAGCGTGGAAGCGAGCAATCCTTGTTCAAACATTGAAACGGCAAACAAGGCCATGAATCGATGTTGAAATTCACAACGCTTAGGTAAAGCTGCGGAAGCTTCATTTGATTTAAAATTAGCACAGCCCAGACACGCACCCAGAGCGCTCGCGCGACGTGCCGTGAGGCCGCATCTCGATCTCATTATTTGACGCCCACTTGCAAATTGTTGCCTGCAGTAAATCCCCGTTTGCCACGGTGGGCTTCGCAGACGCTGGCTCTGAAGGCATCGCTCGTCATATCAGCGGTGCCATTTTACGTTCATCGTTTAGCCTCCGTAATTGTATTTACCCGAATGAACGCATCCCCCGCCACATTGCAAATAAGCATTTCCCTTCCTCGTCTGCAACCGGTATTAACCTCGAATGATTTAATCCGATGAAATGCCTACAATCGACAACACAAAAAAACCATGAGACTGAAATCGTACCGATTTTAGCTGCAGTATTTTTTTAACCTTTAATATAAAAAAAACATGTTTAGAATTCCACACGTGAAGACCTTTCATCTCCTCTGCATTCTGAGAGAGCGCGGGGAGGAGCGGCGAGAGATGGGATGGGTATGGATTGGGGGTGGGATTCTGTGGAGGGGGATGTGAAATCATTCCATTCAGAGCGTGTCGGGAGCCGCCGCCACTGCTGCTGCTGTAACCTAATTGGCTGCTGTAACCAGTGCTGGAGCGGCTCTGTGATTGGAGGGATGAGGATGCCTGTGGCTCACGTTGAGGGCCAGCTGATGATGCACCCTCTCGCTAGCTTTCCCCTCCCTTTCCATCCCTCTCTCTCTCTCTCGTGTTTGTGCTTCAAGCGTGCGCGGCTCAAACACGAGCAGGTCCACGTGAGGCCCTCACGTAACGCGTAGCTGCAGCGATGCCAGTAATAGCAAAGTGGGTCATCCCGTGTCAGCCGCGTTCAGGTACACGTGTGGAGATGCATGGGAGGAGGGATGGGGGGTTTTGGGTTGGTGGGGGCGGCGGATGGAAGAGAAGAAGGGTGGGAGAGGTGGGGGAGTTGGCGGGGTGGTGGGGGGGCAATGTTTTTCGCCCCAAAGACAGATGGTTTGACACTTGGCGTTGACTCGGTAACATGCCTGTAAAGCTGCCGGTGCAATTTACATGCTCCAGTTTCACAGAGCCCGACGGTTTTTTTTGTGTTGTGCGTGGCTATCACAACACACGCGATATGCCGCGGCCTGAAACACAATGTTCCGGTTTGTTAAATTAGAAATACATTCAGGATGTGTTCCACTTGAAGAAAGAGACGAAACTAAACGCCTGCTAAACAAAATCAACGCCCGTATTGTTACCGTCAACACGGCGCTTGCTATTTGGCGTTTAGAAAACGGACAACGTTGTTTTACTCTCCAAATATGATATTAATGATGAATTATAATCACATTTCACCTCGTTACTAGCACTCCGTTGTTGCTGTTGCCATTTAGGCGACAATTACGTGCTGCCACCTTGCGATTAAACACGCGCGCCATAGTAACAGATTCAATGGTTCGATTGTGATATCCACATGGCATTTCGAGATCATTTCAATAACAAGAAAACATCTTGGGAGTAAAACTTCGACTCGACTGCCCGGTGGCTCGGTTCACACGCAGTCAACCAGAGGGCACAGTGCCGTCACATTCACCGCTTCCTCTCGCGCACGATGCACATTGGTGGTTTCGGTGAATTAAAATGTACAACTCCTCCGCCGGTTTTAAATAGCGCAGAACAATCTAATGCCCGAGGTAGTCCGAGGGAGAAAGGAGGAGGCGGGGGGGGGATGGGGTGGGTGGGTTGGGTAGTGGAGGGGCGCAGTGTGGTGGGAGGGAGCCAGTTGCTTCTTCCACTGGGCACCGACTATTCTCCCTCTGCGCTGCCTGCCATGTCCGCCTTACTGGCCACCCTGTTCCAAGTTCCGCTGACTCTTGCCTGCCCTTGGCCCCAGTGCCCCTACTAAACCCTCTCGTTCCACCCCCCCCTCCTCCTCCCTCTGTGTTCCACAAAGGGCACTGGGGCAGTGCTGTAACCAGACTCTCTCTTGTTGGACAGTGAAGCCAGGGACGTTATTTTGCCGCTGCCTATTGCAGGACGCAAGGCGGAGGTGCCGCCTTCCGCGTATACACAACACCGCAATTTGTACGAACAAAAATGAATGTCAAGAGTACATAGTGTACTCTGCGTTGTTTGCCAAGTCTTGAAATGGAAAGAGCGCTGAACCCTTGCCAAGGCTGTTCTTGCTTGTTTGCTACTGGCAGATCCCACCGTGCGGATCCACGTGACCGATGTTTTGCAGCCCGTGGGGTTTTTTTTTCTCCCTCTCTTCCCCCCCCCACCTCCTCTTTCTGTGTCAGTGGTGGGTGGGGGATTTGTGCCACAAGCATTGGTGGTGGTGGTGGTGGGGGGGGGTGTTCTCGGTGTTACTAGCGTGCAAGTGTGCGTGTTGTGTGCGCGCACGCGCAAACGCCGGGCAGGATAGGGGAGGTGCAGCTGCCCAATTGCCGCCATAATCGCGCTATTGTATGCGGCCCGCTTAATTGGCGTGGGATGATGCATAGAGCCAGGGTGTGGATGTGTGGTAATGTTGAAGTAAAAGAGCCCTGGTAATTAGCTTAAAAGGGGTTACTTAATGTTAGGTCCATTGCCGGTACAGTATTAGGAGGCCGAGCCCACTTGAGAATGATGATTTTTTTTAAAAAAAAATTTAAACGATGAATTTCAGTCGCCACTTTATTGGCGTGCACTTAAAAAGAGAACGTCATACTGTGGCTGTAGTTGTAATCACGTGGTTTAAATATTGGCCACGTGATTGTTTTAGTAGGGTGTATTTATTTCCCCCAACCTACCACAGCCCTTGCCTTTAGAAGAAGTAGAGACGTGTTGTGTCCACCGGATGTTGTTGTCCGACTGTAAATAGAAGGGGAATCGGTCAGGGAATATTTTATATCCTAAACATTTGAGGTATTTATACATTCTTTTTTTTTACTTTTCTTTTTAGCATTTGCTTGCATTCATTCAATCATGCGGCTTTGGAATTAAATTCGGCTTTAGGTGCGCTGATCTATAGTAACTAATTGGCACTGTTGTTTTACGTGACAAACCTAACTAATTGGCTGTGTCGGGTGGCGGCGGGTTTAGCGACACACTTATATTTACGCCATCCAACCCTCAAAAACAACTTAACATTGGTATTTCGATTTTTTTTCAAAACGAAGGATTCGGCGCGGACAAAACACTGCTTCGCTCCATCAGCTGACTGGGCCTTTAGGGCAGAGCGCCGCGAAGCAGTCTGCAGGACGAGAGGCGTGAACACACCGCGTCCCCTCCCTCCTATGTGAGCGCTCCTTTCCGAGCTGAGCCCCGGCTGCAGGCCGCTCTGAGAGGCCCTCGCGTCGATGGCGACGAAAAAAACGCGACGCTCGTTATCCTGGCCCCTGCCATTGGGGTGTGCAACTTTCACCTTTGGCTGCCGAAGGAGTTGGGATTCGCCCAAACGCTCATTTGAACGTGGAGCTCCTTTCAAATTCAATAAAACGTTCAGTAAAAGTTTACCCCCTCCCCCCCCCCCGAAAAAAAAGGTATTTTTTTTTTAAACTTTCCACCGCATCTCGTAGCTGGCAGGCGTTCAGCACTGGGCACGGCCGCCAGCAGCGCGCTGTCCTTGCCTGTGCACCGCTCTGCGCGGCGTTGGGAACACGCGCACACACGCACGATGTTCCAACCTAAAGTGCCTCTGTGCCCACGCGCGTGTTTCTGCAGGAGGAGGAGGAGGCGGAGGAGGAGGAGGGGTCATCTCGTACGCGGGCTCCATGGGCTCCAGCCCCAGCCCCATGTCGTGCCACAGCGACAGCAGCGAGAGCGGCTTCGGCTCCGGCTCCCAGTCGCCGCTCTCGTCCTCCCTCTCCGCGTCCCCTCCGCCCGTCGGCGGCCCTCCGGGATTCCGCCCGGGGTCGCCGGGCCGGGGCGACGCGGAGGGGTCGTGCGGCGCCGGTCGCGGCTCGATCTACGTGACCTCGCTGCCCGCGAGACAGGACACGGTGCTGCAGGACCACCTGTACTGCCCGCCGGCCGGCGCCTCGCCCGGCTCCGTCGGCATCAGCCTCGGCGGCGGCGGCGGCGGCGCCGTCGTCACGCACTCGCCTACCTCGTCGCTGGCGCTCGGCCCCACGCACCGCGGCGCCCGGGGCAGCGCCGGCAAGCTCAAGTCCGGCTCCATCGGGAGCATTGCCAGTAAGCGACAACGCGCGCGGTCGAGCCTCTCTCGCGCTCTCGCCGGCAGCGGATCTGTGCCGTGCCGCACGATGCGTGGGAGGGGAACGGGGGTGGGGGTAAGTGCGATGTAATGGGAAATGAGCGGTTAATAGAGAATAATAATTGTTAAGCCCATGATTGACGAGGAATTGCGGTTGCTCGAGGGTGCACCCGATTGTGTTGAAACGTTTTGGTGAACGCCACGCGGCGGCTCTGAGATGTTAACTACCTCGCCTGGTATATAGGAGGTCGTGGGTTCGATCCCGACCCTGACGCCTTTAAATTTAGATTTTGCATGTCTATTTGGCTTGCTGTAAATTTTCCACGCATGAATCCACTTCGTTGAGCTGTCATTTGTGGCCAGCTCGTTTCTGAACAAGCGGGCCTTACCTGGTAAAATAAAAAAAAAGTAAAAAAAATTTTAGTCGCGCGCACGTTTCGGTTCGGGTTTAGTCGCGGCATTGATGCTTCCGAACAACAGCGGGCGGGCGTGGGTGTGTCAAAGCTCCGCTAACCCCCCCCCCCCCCCGTGCAACGTTTGTTCCGCAGCAATCAACGGCGTTGTGCTGCTTTGCAAAGTGTGCGGAGACGCCGCGTCCGGGTTCCACTACGGCGTACACGCCTGCGAGGGCTGCAAGGTAACGGCGTCCTCCTCCTCCTCCTCCCTTCTCCTGCCTCCTCCCGGCGATCGATTTGTTCAAATCGCCCGTGGGGCTCTCGGGACGGAACCCTTGGCCCACCGGTGCTCTTTTCTATCACATCCCTCCCTAACTCTCTCGAGCACAACCGCCGGTGACCAGGCCACACAGCGGTTACTAATTTTTTTTCACGATTGGCCGGGTCGATGATTGGCTTGTTCAACCCCCGCCGCCTCTCCCCCCCGTCAGCAATTTGTGTTCGCACCCAACTGGCCTTGTGGGAGATGCCGCAGAGCGCCGGGTGTGTGTGTGTGTGAAGGTGGCTTGCCTGCAATCTGGCGCTCCGTCTGGCGACTCACGTTGAGGCCACGTGCGCGTGAGACGCCCGCCACCTGCTGGCCGCGAGCAGAGCGGCCAGCAGGTGGCGGTGTGGCGAGTCGGTTGATACATTTTTAGTTTTTGTGGGTTTTTATTTTTAGTGTAAGCTCCTTGTCCTTTTGTTTGCTCGTTTGTTTTCTCCAGTTGATCTATTTTCCTCCCACATGTAAACAATAATACATATCACAATCGGAATATTTTTTTTTAATACTGGAACAATCCGATGCGCTATAAAGCTCTTTTTCACATATCCAGGAGGGGCGGGGTTAGAAATTTTCGGCTCGATGAGGAATCGACCAAACATCCCAATCACAGGAAATTACTGAACCAGTCTCGAAATGAATCGATGCTTTGCGCTACAACTACATTTCCATTGTCACTTTTACATAAATATTGGTGCATTTAAAGAACTTGTCGCGCAGGGCTGACGTCGGCAGCGTGTGCATTCGTTTTTCTTCCTTCCACGTAGGGATTCTTCCGACGCAGCATCCAGCAAAACATCAAGTACAAGCCGTGCCTCAAGAACGAGACCTGCCCCATCGTGCGGGCAAATCGCAACCGCTGCCAGCACTGCCGCTTCAAGAAGTGCCTGTCCGTCGGCATGTCCAAAGACGGTGGGTGATTTCGCAGTGCGTCAATCTGTCGGCCGGCACTTTCGGGAGCGCCCGAGCCTCGGCCTGTGATGATAATTTAAAGCGGCGATACGGGAGAGCCCGTTGAGATGAACGCCGCCTTTTTCGAAAAACGCCGTGCTAATCGAGTCGTCATGAAGAGCCCCCGTACCATTTTTTATGCATTGCAATTTTAATAAGTGCAGAACAAATAATGGTAAGCCTGCACCAGACGAACCGCTTTCTTTTCGTAAATATGCCTTTTTAAAGTGCTGCATTGCGCGAGCAGAAAAATAATATAACATTCAACGTGAAATTATGTAGCCTAGTTTCGTGTTCCTGCGTTACCGTTACTCCTTGAAGGGGTCCCGTAGACAGACGCCTTCAGTTGATGGGTTTTACTCGAACCGGAATGTGAATTCTCAAATGGTCCCTCGCTGTTTGTCTCTTCCCCCCCCACCACCACCACAGCCGTGCGATTCGGACGCATCCCAAAGCGCGAGAAGCTGCGCCTGATGGAGGAAGTCCAGAACGCCCTCAACTCCGCATCCTCGTCCGTCATGGTCAGCCAGGCGATAGCTCGGCCAGCGGACGGCGGCCAGCAGCAGCAGCAGGAGCAGCAGCAGCTGCTGACGGTCGACAACATGGAGTGGAGCAGCGTGGGGCAGGCGGAGGCCGAGGCCAGCAGGGCGCGCAAGCCGTCCGAGTCGATGCAGGCGAGCCCGGATGGCGGGCGGCCCCGCAGCCAGCCCGGAAGCCCCCTCAAGATTAAAGAGGAAGAAGCGGCTCAGAGGGTCGGCGCCGCACACTCGGACGTCTTCCGGCAGCGCCGCCCCGAGGTTCCTTTGGGGCAGTCGAACGTCGTCGGCGACCCCAAGCGGGTTCAGAACTTCGCTTCGGCGCCGGGGGGGAGCCTGGCGGCAGACGCCATGCAAGGCCCCGCTTTCGCCGGGCTCTCGGACAGCGTGGCCGCGCACGCCATCCTGGGCGCGAGGCAGGAGGCCGAGATGGCGCGCGCCGCGTGGAGCGCGCAGGACAACAACAACGGCGGCCAGCGCTACGGGCTGCCGGACAACGGCCGGGGAGAGAGGGCCGCCGCCCAAGCCAGCCTCTTTCGCCAGCGGTGCGACTCGCCGGCGGGCGTCAACGGCAACCGCGCCGGCTTCATCGACAGCGGGCACGAGAGAGCGCGCTACGCGGGCGGGTGCTCCGCGGGCGCCCACGGGGGCGCGTACCCGGGCGAGGACAACGCCGGGCGCTTCCACGCGGCGCAGCCTCAGGCGATCTCCGGCCAGCACGGCCAATACGGCCGGCACGACTACGGCTACGGCCAAGTCTCGGTGTGCCCCATGGGACAGGGGCACGAGCAGGCGCCGCAGATGTCCGGCGGCGTGCGGCATTGGCCCGAGGAGCGAGAGGAGACGTCGTCGTCCTCGGGAGCGCGAAGCTGCCCCTGGAGTGGACCGCAGAGCAGAAAGCTGGTACGTGAGATCGCTCGCGGCGCGCGACCCTACGCATGTATGTAGTATGTATGTTGTGTGCATGTGCGGTGAACTTCTTTCGCACCGTAGGTAGCCAACCACGATAATCAGGAAGGACAACAAACTAAACACAAAAAGCAGTTTTAAAGAAATGAGTTTCCATACTCTTTGGGTCTTTCGGTAAAATCACGTAGATAGAAAAATAATTTTAAAAAATCACGACGTTTTGATCGCAACAACAAGCAATCGTCTTCAGGTGAAAAAATACAGCAGGCGGACTGCTGAGGCAGGAAGAAATGTTTATTATTATTTTATTATCTACGTGACTTTACCGAAAGACCCAAAGAGTATGAATTCCTGCAGTCACGAAAGCTTCAGGTCAAAATTGAGTTTCCAGTCTAACATTGCCCAGCTCCCGGTGGCTTCCTAACATGGGAAGCATGACAACAGCGCGAGATGTCGTCTCCGCCCCGCCTGACGCGCGTTCTTTCCATCGCCAGGCGTGCCCCCTGAACAGCGGCCCGTTTGGCCGCCCCGACGCCAGCGGGGGCGAGGTGTGGGAGGACTTTTCCCGTTGCTTCACGCCGGCCGTCAAAGAGGTTGTGGAGTTCGCTCGGAGCATCCCCGGCTTCCTGAGCCTCTCGCAGCAGGACCAGGTCGCCCTGCTCAAGGCCGGCACATTCGAGGTGAGGAGCAACAACAACACTAAACGATGCCGGCGGGGAACCCCAGTCGAGGCGCAAAGGCACGCGCGGCAGAACTGTATGCCCCCCACCCACCCACCCACCGCCCTCCTTTCTTCGTCACTCGAGCCCGCCCGGGTGGCTTCTGCGGTGAGAGGTCACCTCGGCTCCGCAGCTTGAAAGTTCGGCGATATTTAAATTCCGGTTCGGGTGGTGGGGAGATCGGCTGAGCTTGTCAATTCTCCTCGTGCTCAATAAAACGAGCAACCGATTATTGGGAAATCGGCAATGGTTGCCCTACGGAGAGGCAGGCTCCTCCGGCCATAGTAATGTGGAATTTCCAGCAAGGGACTTGTGCCCGGCAACGGAAATGAGCGCCGTCTCATTGCTCGTTTGAGCGGCGAGATATTTCGCCAGCGCCTCCTCTGTGTCAGCTTAAGGCGGGGTGGGTCGGGCTATGGCCACCGTTTGTTCGACACACCTGTGCTCATCGCCTGTCCCCCTGCCACCCTCTCCGCAGGTGCTCGTGGTGCGCTTCTCCTCGCTGTTCGACGCGCGCGACAGGACCGTGCAGTTTGCGGGCGGGCGCGTCTATCGCTTGGAGGAGCTGCGAGCCCTCGGCATGGGCGAGCTCCTGCACGCCATGTTCGACTTTGCCGAGAAGCTGGTGTCCCTGCGGCTCACCACCGAGGAGATGGGCCTCTTCAGTGCCGTCGTGCTGGTCTCCGCCGGTACGTCTCTCTCTGCCTCTTTCTCTTTGTATTCGACGTGGTGACGCCGCCCCGGTTTCATCCTTCGTCATGCATCGTCACTGTCACCGGGGGTTTAATATTAATCATCGTCGTTAGCGCCCGGTTTAATCTGTACCCGCTGCAAATCTGTGAATGTCGTGGTTTTCCATTTGCTCGGATTTACCCGCCGCCCTCCCCACGCCGCACAGCTGACTTTGACAGCTGAAGTATAAGAAGCTTTTATCAATATTCCCTGCGCCTTTGTAACCCAGATTAACTGGACGCATCATGGGATCATCAGTTCTTTTATCAGATGTAGATCCACCCAGTCGACAAGGTTTCGCAAAAAACAGTTAAGAAAGTCGACCTGTAACAAAAATACCTTTCCATTCATCGCAAAACTCTACAATTTGAATCGACGTTTGTGATGCGACACCCCCCCCCCCCCCCACAAGCCTCTTTAATATTGCCACTTTGCCCAGATTAACCAAAATGCACCGCGCGCGTTTTTTTCCCTCTCTCCCCTTTTGCGACCACAGATCGCTCCGGCATCGAGGATGTGGGGACGGTCGAGCGCCTACAGGAGGCCCTCATCTCAGACCTGAGGGACCTGGTCTCCAGGAACCACCAGGACGGCGCGACGCTCTACACCAGGCTCCTCTTGCGCCTGCCTGACCTGCGCACGCTCAACAACCTCCACTCGGAGAAGCTGCTCGCCTTCCGCATCGACGCGTGAGCGAGCGCTTTCGACGGCGGCCGATGCGCAGAAAGATTAACAGAGTGCGTGAGGGCGACTTTATTTATTGGACGTTTTCGCCCGTTGTTCGTCGTCAGTACGATGAGCACTTTACTAAGACGAAACGACAGCAACAAAAACACTTGAATAGCATCCGTAGACTGCCCTAAAAAGACTCGAGGATGACGACGACGACGACGACGACAAGCCTTATAGAATGGCTCCTAAATGTAACGTAAGATCCAAACGCACGTGCAATTTGCTTCCAATGATGGCGCGTGCGTTTTTTTTCTTTCGTGAACTTATCGACAAAGGTTAACGAGGAGGGTATCACGACAACTAAAGCTTCCTGTACATTTGTTTGCTCCGCTCGCAAAAGGCGTGCGAGCGGAGCCAGTTTGGTTGCGGTGCGCGGACACTCCGCCACCGGGGGACGACGTGGCGCCAGGCGAGGGCTGGCGTCTCTCCCTCTCACAGCAAGGGCTTTCGGTGCAACGGACACAGCTGCACTCTGCGACCACGTGTAAATTATGTTAGCAGTCTTTTTTTTGTTTACGTAGCGTTTTACGAAATGGCAGGTTTGTGTTTTTTTGGTTCGTTTGTCCCTCTCGTTTTCTCCCGCATCGCGATAATCACTGACTGGGCGTCGCCGTAAACCCGAGTGATTTTTTTTGCTCTCGTGGCGTTCACAATTTATGACCGGAGCACGATTTGTGCGTATCCTTCTGTGCTTCCTACTCCGAGTAAACCGGCCCAATAAAGTTTTGCTGTACCAGTGATCAAAAAAATGTTTCCGGGCCACGTCGATAAACGGTAATGACATCCTCCTCGTGTGTGTGTGTGCGCGCGTGTGTGTATATATACTGTACAAATATCCCCGCGTTCTTGCGTTATAGGAAAGCAAACGACACGCACGCTTTTGTTTAATCGCAAACAAGCCGGCAGCAAAGCGGCGGCCGTGAAAAAGAATGTTCGTCAACGCCTTTGTAAACATTTTTTTTACATCTGTCTTTGGTTTCTTTTGCGTTCAGCCTGCCTTGACGCTCAACCGTCAGTGAGAGAGTGAATTGGGAATAACAGACACCCGATTTGAAGGCATTGCAAATGCTCTCACGCGTAGATGTCTATCTTGTCGTGGGTTTGTTGATAATTTAAATCGCATCAGACGTACGCACAGACGCGGGCTGCGGTAACTTCTGCGCGATGCATTGACCGCTAACAAGGAAAGCTTCAGGCACTTAGGGTGGCATTGTATAGCAGTGCAAAAGTGCGATCATTTCCAGTTTTTTTCACTTTGTCCCCCTTTATGTGGGGGAGTTTTTATTTTCTTTGTAACTTAAGCGTGCACGTGTGAGCAAGCGAGCGAGCTTTCTCGAGTGTTTATACGAGTCATGGCATTGACGTTTCATGAACCCCCAATGTATTTGTGTCAACTTTTCAACCGTAGTTTTATTTGTTATTATTAGCTGCTAGAACTTATTTAAAACGAGCATTAAATTAACACGATTTTTTTGGTTGTTGTTGCGAGAATTATTTAGTGTTTTTTTTTGTATCGTAAACATTGCCATATTTAATTTTTCTTTCGTCATGTCAAGTAAAATGCGTTCAATGATCGCATGTCCCCTACATTTACACAAAGTGTCCCTACATTTGCACCTGTGAGACGGAATCAACGCGGCACTTAATGCAAAGGAACACGATAGCCACCACCACCACCACCAAAACCAATGTACAGGCCAATGAGATATATTCAACGATGTTTTTCAATCTTTGCAGCTAGCTATGATGGCCCTGTAACTGGTGCTAACTCACGCCTCAAGCGGCGAGCACCGTCGTCTGGAGACCACCTTGCAATTGCACGGCTTTTTTTGTCTAAATATATTTTGTGACATGGGTCTGATCCATTTATAGAGACATTGCAAGAGGATAATATTTATTTCCAAAGCTTCTGCACGTCTTCCTCCCCCCATCCCAGTGCACTCATTAATCCAAAACACTCACCGCCGTCGCTCAGTGCACACCTCTGTAAAGACACGGAGCCATGGCAAATATTCCGTCGTTAGAAATCAATTGGGCATCTGTAAATGGATCTCATCCTGTTATAATACCAATTCTGTTTGTGCGGTTCAATGTATTGCTGCGCTTTTCGGCTCACGGCGGACTACGCGATGATTCGCCATCACAACAACACTGATGTCAATAATCCACTACGTGTGGGCGTCATGAGTGGGCTCACTCACCCAAATGCGTGTCTGTGTACATATTGCGGAGGTGTAATTCTGCTGTTTGTGTAATTAAATAAATTAGGCTTTGCACGTTCTCCGAAAAAAAGACTTTACATTATCACTTAAATATATGCTCTTTCTCATGGTGCAATCTGATTTTTTCAAATACTTATGTAATCCGTATGTTCTGTGTGTGTGTGCTTCACATGAGACATATCTGTGTATGATATCGGTATATGTGGATTATTGGTTTGTGGGAAGGAAACAAACTGTGGGGGGGGGGCCGGTGGGGGGGGGGGGGAGGTCGCAATCAACAAAAACAGAACAAGAGGGCGTATTAAATACAAGAATAGAATGTATTCCGCAATTGTGACTGATTCGGTGCCTACACCAAATGAATGTTTCAGAAAGATGTATAATATATAGGCAAAGAGAGATATATTGTAAACGAGAGAGCACTTGTTTGGTAGTAGAAGAATAAGGAGAAGAAGAAGACGAAAAACAAAACGATTACAAAAACTCACAAATGGATCTTACATTGGTTCGACGAGTGTATGCAAGGAATATGTGCATACGAGTTGTGGTGTATACGTTTTTATTGACGGCTGTCAGTCACTTCCACCAACCAACGCTGATTGGGCATTGTCCACGTTTTCCTTTGATTGAGGAAAATAATTGAATGTGTTGTGGGGGGGCGGGCGGCGTGGAGGGAGGCTCGGATTTGGTTGTTGCTGTTAAGCTGCTTGGATACTGTAACATACATTTTGCCAGTGTGTCCACATGCTCGGAATTACCATTTACATTGTCCCGTCTTCATCCTTGTGTCCACCGCAACTGTTGCTGGTTATGCATTCCCTGCCCAATAAACGTGCCGTTGTTAAAATTACCTTCGCTCGCTTGTGTCACATTATTACACTCTTTCTTTTAACTCGCTCTGTTGTTGTATCCTCAAATCTTGTAACTCAATTTTTACCCACTTCCCAATGTGGTATCGACTGCAAACTTGGTATACTTATGTCATATTCATGACAATACTATATTCTATCATAAAATATCTATATTTTTTAACATTCTCTTTTATTTTTGTTTAAAGCTTTCGTGACTGCAGGGATTCATATTCTTGGTTCTTTCGGTAAAGTCACGTAGAAGGGAAACAAAATAATAAAAATTTAAAACAATAAAATTCTCATGACGTTTCGACTGCAACACAAGCAATCATCACCAGGTGTGAAAATCACAGCAAGAAAATTTGAAAAAAGTAGCGTTTTTTTTACGTTAGCACCATGAGAGCGATTTGGCAGTTATTCAGATGGACGAGACCATCTATGTTCGGAAAAGAGGAAGGGGAGACGAAAAATAATGCATGCGGTCTGAAAGCCATCGTAAGCGTGGAAGTCGAAAAAGATGGCAAGCTACCTTTTTTGGATGTTCTAATAAAAAAGAGACCTGATGGTTCAATGAGCCACTGTCTACAGGAAAGCTACCCATACGGATGCTTACCTGAAACCGGATTCCCACCACCATCCATCCCAGAAGAATTCCCTCATCAAGACTCTGCACCATAGAGCCCAATTCATATCCGACCAGGAGCACATAGCCAGTGAACTCAAGCACGTACACCAAGCTCTTAAGGCTAATGGTTACTCCGACTACACAATCCGCAAAGCTATCACTCCAACCATGAAGAAGGACACTCTTGAGGAGCCTTTCAAAACCATCACTTTACCCTACATTGCGGGGATCACAAAAAAGATCTCCAAAATCTTGAATAAACACAAGATCCAGGTACGATTCAACACATTACATAAAATCCCTAATCTGGTTCCGTCCGAAAAAGATGTGATTCCGGACATACAGTACCCTGGCGTCTACAAACTAAGTTGCCTCTGTGGTAGTAGTTACATTGGAGAAACCAAACGACGTCTCAGACCGCATCTGTGAACACAAAGCAGACCTAAAACACGGTAGGACCAACACCTCGGCCGTGGCAGATCACTGTTATAATTCAGTGGGCTCACATGACATTGACTTCTCCAAGACAGAGGTTCTCTGCAAGCCATCTGGCTACCATGAGAGATTCGTTCATGAGGCTATCCACATATACAAACACAGAGACAATTTCAACCGAGAAGATGGATTCTGGCTTAGCAATCATTGGAAGGATTTGATAAACCATTTCGGGTCTTAATTGATTGTTCACGCTTACGGTGGCTTTCAGACCGCATCCATTATTTTTGTCTCCTCCCTCCTCTTTTCCGAACATAGATGGACTCATCCATCTGAATAAGTGCCAACTCGCTCTCCGTGGTGCTAACGTTAAAAAAACGCTACTTTTTCAAATTTTCTTGCTGTGGTTTTCACACCTGATGATGATTGCTTGTGTTGCAGTCGAAACGTCGTGATCATTTTATTGTTTTATATTTTTATTATTTTGTTTCCCTTCGACATGACTTTACCGAAAGAACCAATAATATTATTTTTTATATGTTATGTTTCGGCTTGGGTCTAATTGTCCACGGTCAACTGACGTTGGCTGTAATTGGCCCACGGTCCCCTTACGTTATGGCAAGCTTCGGGGCCACTTCCTGGAGTCGTGGAGTTCTGCCATTACTAGTACGGTACATTTAATAAAAGCGTGATTTTTTTTTACTTTTTATCAACTACAAACGGTGTGGTGCCACGGCAACTCTTAGTGCAAAGTACAAAGACAAAGCTCCCCCGTATAGGCTTAACGGGCTGTTTGGGGCAAGTGCTGTTAGCGAGTGCCAAATGAAGGCCGGCACGGCGCACGATTTGGGGTGGGTGGCCAACACCACGCCCGGCCGCCTTTGTCTGCCGAGTGGCGATGTTTTCATTTTTTTTACACAGCACGGGGTAACGAAGTACACACATATACGCGCGTCACACACGGGAGCGCGCAATTGCCACGCAAGCGTGTTCTCGGCGAGTGGTTTGCTTTTTTGTTACGGATTAATTTTGAGAACTCGATATAACAGGTTTCCAAAAAATCACTCTTTCCCCACCCCTCCCCCCCAAAAAAAATGTATTTTGTAGGCATATGTGCCTACACACCCTGCATATGTAATGGGTTCAAGTGAGTCGCAGCCGTAGACTTGGAGGCAACACATTTATTCAGCTCCAACACACGGGGTAACTTACCCCTTAACAGAATAACAACCTGTGGTGGTGACCACCAGGCTAACTACACTAGTAACTACACTAATTACAACGTAACTGGTATAGTTATCCATGTGGTGACCACCAGGCTAACTACACTAGTTACCACGTGGCTGGTGTGGTTAACTGGGTGGTGACCACCAGGCTAACTACACTAGTCACCACGTGTAGTTAGCCTGGTGACCACCACACTAGTTACAACGTACCTGCTACTACAGACCGGGACCAACAGCTTGGGTCCGGGTCCACGTGTTGGAGACTCGTTGAACGGAGAACGTAGACGAAGGGTTTCTTCCAGGATGAACAACAACAACAACAACAACCCCGGCCCCTCTCGGGACCCGGCTTATCGTCTCTGCGGCGTGGCCGGCTCCGCCCTTGGCCACGCCCACCTTCCAGATCCCTCGGGAAGGATCTGGGTCCCAACCACGTGACCACCCCCAGCCACCACTTGGGGCCCCTTTGTAGACTTGACCGGTCACGTGTCCTCTCGGGTCAACTAGAGCGCCATGGCCTTTAGTAACCTCATCCCTCGGCCGGCACCCACACACCGTGTCCTGTAGGGGTCGGCACTGCACGCCAAGCGTGGTGCCACCCAGCGCTATCCATCAGCGCTCACCGTGCCCCTCTAGGGCCGCTACTACACCCACACCATAGTGGTGTCCGTGATGTCGCTACACCGCACGCCGTGACTCTCTATGGCCGGCACTGCATCCACCATGTTGACATCCAGCGATGTCACTGCACATGCAATAGAGTCAGTAGTATCTGCACAGTGCACACGTGCAGGGGAGGCATGAAGCGCTGAGAAGCCCTCCGTGGGAGCTGTGTCCGGCCCGGCGTTCCACTTGCCTTGCCTGGCTTGTTTGACGTGTGCGGCTTCGTGTTTGCAGCGTCTGGTTGAACAACTTTGCGTTTCTAGCAAACGCAGATGGGGGTCGTTAATCCGCCGTTGCAATCCTAATGCTGCTGCTGCTGCAGTACGGCCAATCCGACTGCTGAGCGAGTTTGAAAACGCGATCTGTCCATCTATTTGACCACACTTCAACCTGCGCTGGTCGGTGTGGGATTGGGGGAGTGGAGTACTGTCGTATAAACACGAACTTTCTGTAAAATCTTGCATTTCCATCCACGGTCCACAACGTAGCCTATAACACCTATTACTCAGGACATTCGCCGTGTCCTTCCCCCGCACCTCCGATTAGCACGGTTGGCTAGGTACGGTGCGAAAGAAGTTCAACATACATACGACCATTTATTTAAGCCAAAACCTTGCTTGGCTTTCGAGATCTGACGAGATTTTGCTGTGACTGTTCCACCTGAAGCTTGTGTTGCCTCCGAAACGTCGTGATTGAATTGTTTTCTTTTATTTTGTTTTATTTTACCTACGTGACTTTACCGGATAAAACCAAATAGTATGAATCCTTGCAATCACGAAAGCTTCAAATCTAGAAAGAGATCGGGCGAATTCTGGGAGATTCGATCGTAAGCAAAGGTTTATCGCCTTCGCTCACACGGCTTTCTTAATTAAATTAATTTAACATCATGACATCTTCATTCATAAACCTGTATATATTCCACGCTGTTAAGCTAATTGCTCCACGTGTGTCCGTTAACCATCACCATACACACACAGGTGTAAGCAACTGCTGCAGCGATTGTGACAGCACACACGTTTTCGCAATAATGGCATAACCTGTCAACCCCTAAGACGTCTGGGCAGCGTGAAAGATTACCATACCTGTCAACCACTTATCAGTGCCCTACCTTATTACAGACCAATTCAGATTACCATACACTATACACGACACTATACACCACACTAATACATACCTGTCAACCCCTTATCAGCGCCTCCCTTATTACAGACCAATTGAGACCTTATTGGTCACCCCGTGCCCTTATCAATCTCAACGTTCATCCTACAAAGCCCGTATTGAAACGACTGTACGCGGTATGGACCTGAAAACTCAGTTTACCTGTACAAGACCACGGGGTAAACTGTATTGGTTGACAGGTGTGTAATGGTGCCATTCTATATTTTCTTGTTATTATAAATGTAGTCGATGTTTTTTTGTTAAACCATTGCCCTTGGTCAAAGGATTCTGAGCTGAGTGGCCACTGTGCGATAGGATGCAGTTGCACTTAGACTACGGCTGGTTCACCAAAATAATAAGAATCCGTAAAAAAAACCACACCACTTAATATTACTAGAGCCGCAATGCATTGTGGGGTGAACACAAGACGGTGTGGACCTTGATGAGTCACGGTCACGAAGCAGCCCTTAAAGAGTCGCATACGGTTCCGTAGAAGTGCCGGATTTTCCCAGTAGCAAAAGTAGCTACATATGCTACGTGCCCCGCACTTTCAAGGGCCCCGCGCTAAATGCTTTCAAGCTATCAATTCTGGTTAAGTGATTCTGCACTTGCTGCTCTATTACTATAGTACCATACCGCCTGCAACTTTTATGAACGACTTGGTGTTTAAGGTCAGCGATTTGTCGTATTATCTGGCCGTATAGCAAATGAAAAAATACAATTACTATGCAAGTAAAAAAATGTGTTTTTATATTTATGTTTTGATCTAGGGCCCCTTCGTAACATATGCTACAGGCCCCCGCACCAGCTTAATCCGGAGCCGCAGGTTTGCCGACCCTCCTGACTTAAACGATCAGTGTTCCTGGTGAAGTCTGAAGTACCCCACCCCCGG